ATTATTGAGCTTAGGTCAGAACTTTATAAACTACATATATATAATATATATGTATTTAATGTATCGATTAATGGATACATATAAACAGTACATACAGATTATACTAGTGATGTTAGTGATGTTAGGATTCTTTGTCATTTGCTTTCTGGTGCGGAAAAGTGCCTCTTCTAATATGTACACCTTTTGAAATAAATTTCTCATTTACATATTAATAACAAAATGTAGTACAATGTTAATTTGTTCCGAACATATCGTCCCTCCTAACTGACTGTCGTATGTGACATTAGGCGAATTTTCAGGTCTATGCACAATGGGCATATGGAATGTAGACTTTTGAAAACTGATATCAAAAATTAATGACAAAAATGAGCAACATAAATGTCACAAACGATAGTGAGGTGTGGTGTGGTATTATGTACAAGGGAAACAAGTTAGATCAATATTGTCATAGTTAGGTATATATAGATAATACAATTTGATGATCAAGTAGATAATTGATTCCAAATATAATGTGTTATATAGGGTTGTCCAATAAGGACATAACTATTTTGTATTTCAATAAAACACAAAAGAATTGAGATATAGAGTTGAAATGTATTCCAGGTGCAGTAAATACGATACGTTTAAGAATGGATTTCGATCTCGTTCATATGACCACCGCGTGCACTTTTGCAGCGGCCACACAGCTGGTGAAACAATCTATTAAAGAGGAAGTTCGATAATCGTGTAATCTCGCGAAATGGTCCGGTCGAATCTCATGCGACATAACGCCGTTGAATTACCTTTTATGGGGTTACGTTAAGTTGTTGGTTCATGACATAGGAATAATATCAAACGTGAAATTGCCAACGTTTCGGCCGATATGTGTGGAAGAGTAGTGGAAAATTGTCTCTAAAGAATTGAGTAGTCCACTAGCAAACTGCGTTATGTGCGTGGATAAAAGAGCTATAAATTAAAAAACAAAATTATTGTTCCGAAAACGGATTTTTAAATGGTACTTTTTTAATTATCTGAAAATTATAATAAAAAAGAGATGAAACAATATGAAACAAAATCACACTATTAAACTTTTTACTTTATTTCCATTTAAAAATTGAACACAGAGTTTTGCAACAGTAATCTTAAAATAACTAGTTTTGTCATTGTTCAGAATTAACGTACCTAGTTTTGCAACAACACAACGATAACATGGCTAGTTTTGTTGAATATAATTTTAATTTTCCTTTAGACTCTTATATCCACGTCGTCAACCAACAATGTATCTTCATTATCGGTCATTTCTTTTTCTTCGGTCACATTTAATTGTACTTGCCCGATAATATTAGTATACAATTCAAGAATTTCGTATGTAAACCAATCTTCTCCGAAATGTTTGACGATTAAGTTTTTAAAAAATGAACACGAGGAACCTCTCGGATGACAAAATAATAAATACCAAACAAAATAACGGATTTTGTACTCGTATACAAAATAAATAATAATATAGTAAACTCGTGTTTATACTCAATAGAGCAGCGTTTGCAGGTTGACTACAAAATGGCAACTTTTGAAAGTGTAAAAGTAAGGGTCGTATTCTAGAACTCTACTCAATGCTCAATTCAGGATTGCACTGGAAATACGACCCTAATGACAAGGACTTGTGTATGATTTTCAGTGCTCACTGCAATACTCAAGTCCTGACTTGAGTGTTGAGTAGAGTTCTGGAATACGACCCTAAGCGTCGTATTCCAGAACTGTACTCAATGCTCAAGTCAGGACTTGAGCAGACTTGAGTATGATTTCAAGCACTGGAAATACGACCCTGATAGTAAGAACTTGAGTATGATTTTCAGTGATCACTGCAATATTCAAGTCCTGACTTGAGCATTGAGTAGAGTTGTGGAATACGACCCTAAGAATGATAGCGACTTTTACAAAAGTAGTCAACATTTGGCACTGATTTGTTCAGAATATAGTTTAATATTTTGGCACTGTATTGTTAAAGTATTTGAAATTATTTAAAATATTGATCCATTTCACGCCATTAACTAAAAATCATTAAAAATGTCACATAGCGCCATTTGCAAGTGAACTACTCAATTGAACGCTGCAAACTTGCTCGCGGTGGTGGCAAACGAGATCGAATTCCATTCTTAAATGCAACATGTCTATTGCACCTGGAATAAATTTCAACTCGATGTCTCAATCATTTCGTTTTACTGAAATAAAAAATTGTCAAGTGCCTATTGAAAAACCCAATACTACGTGTAATAGTAAATGTATACAGAGGTATGTTGTACGTACTAGTTAACACGGGAAGTAAACGATTTACACCTATTTTATCCGGAATTTGTAACATTCAGACGCTCTTTGTTGTGTAGATTAAATATATTGTTATTAGGGTAGGGATTAGGCATCCCTGCGTCGCGCGTCGTGTCACGTGTTTTCTAGGAAATGTTTCTTCCCGAACATATAAAAATATGATTCTAATTTATCTACAGTTGTGTCATAACTATTCATGGTTATTATCATACTGCATATTATTATAATTTTGATGAAAATATAATCACCATTGCATTTTATTCTTTTATTAATGCTCCCAATTATTTAGCCCAATATTTTTTTTCAGAGTTCAGAATAACAATTTATTAACGAAAATCAAAGGCAATAAAATCGTATTTCGTATTTTATTAGATAGTTATTTAAAACATGGAAAATTTTATATGTCTACCATTGACTTACAAATAAATGGACGACGGGTCTAATACAAAAACCA